ATATAATAATTAGTTGCAGTTATTATATAATTTTTATTACCAAGGTGCCTGTCATGGCTACCTTCACTTTTTTCATTTTTTTCATCTCTGTTCAATTTATATTAGACTACTTTAGAATTTTGTTTCTTTTTTTGTTTTTTTTTTTTCTACCATGAGGTTTTTTTTTAAAATGTTTAGGTCTTTTGTAAACATGGCTTTAAATTTTTTCTTTTATGTATGAATAAGGGTTAATGATTTAGTCAGGCTTAGATGGAAGAAGCTTGAAAGAAGAGGAGGTAGTCATGATTGGTGGTAGGTACTATTTGTTAAGAGCCGGCCAATATCTGATTTCAGGAGGGGCTGAATGGAGGAGAAACCTACTATAGCAGGTCGCACATAGGTGCCAATTGAGGTAACCGGGTGAGTCACAACTCGTATAGTTGTGTGGCCCTCAGACGCGACACATGTCGTTTAGGAATAGTTCTCATATGCTATCTGCCGACATGTTCAGAGTTTATCACTTACCAAAAAGTCTCTCTAAAATTTTAATAATCTAAATGATTATTACAAAGCCTAATAAATTTGTAGCATGATTGCTGAATTTTTATAAAAAAAAAAGAAATAAAAAAAATATATATATAATTGTATAAAAACAAAAGTAATAAGAGCACCAACAAGTATCTCTAGGAGATATTAATAAAAATTTTTTTTTATAAATTCTAATTTGTTCTTCTCGCAAAATACCCATGAAATATGTAGAATTATAAAAAAATTAAACAATTCGTACTTTATCTTTTGATATATGTTTAAATAATTCACTTTCTTTAAAAATATCTCCAAAAACCAAATTCATTTGGTGAGCCATACATGGAAGAAAAATTTTATCAGGATACTTTTGTCTAAGTTGGCGTCTAAAATAAAATAAAATTATAAATTATTAAATATTAATTAATTTTATTAAATATTAAATATATAATATATATATAGTCATTTATCTAGCTGCTTCATATTCTCCAGCAGAATCTGAAACAAAGACCTTAATTGTTATATTCTTATTTTTGGTATCAATCATTAAATTTTCTATATGCTGAATTACATCTTCTGTATGTGATCTTTGTGTACTAATTTCTTGTGCTTCCCAAACTAATGGTTGTCCTCATGAAGTAATTAAAACTACTCCCCAAATATATTCATTTTTTACATTAGTCCATCCATCAAATGTTGCAGTACCACCATCTGTATCACTTTGTGCAATTTTTAATATATCATTTTGTAAATTTATTGATGCTTTGTTAAAATTTTTCCACTTAATTTTTTACGATTTGGTAAATTAAAACCAGGCATGACAAAGTTGAATAATGCTTTAGTTTCTTCATTTTCAATAAAAGAAAATGAAAACCCATTAGATATACACATTCTAAAAAGTAAGTTTTCAAAATAGGGTAAATCTTTGCTTGATATTGGATAGCGAAAACAATTGTTTGAAGGATCATCAATTATTAAATTTTTTTGACTTAATGAGATAACCTCGACACAAAATAGCTTTATTTGTCATATAACACTCAGGTATAAGCGCTGCTACTAGAGTTCTATCATTTTTAAGTGCACAAAAATTACATACTGCTTTTGCATTTGTTTTATTAGTCGGATTATCAACTAATGTAAAAAATTCTCTAAAATTATGTGGTTTAGGCATGTTTCCATTTGCAATTTATTTTAAGTATACACGAAGATTTAAACAATATATATTTTATTAAAGTAAGTTTATGAAAATATAATTTATTTAATTTATGTTGAGTTTACAAAAAAAATAGCATAATATGATTATACAATTTCCATTAGCTAGGATTTGAGAATTATATTAATGCAGCTATCGTCATTATTATTTATATAAGCTATATATAAAAGTTATATTTAATTTGATTTTTAAATATAAAGCAGGACTATATCGATCGTTGGTAGCTTGTACAAATTATTAGTAATAGGTAATTTTAAATAGTTCAGATCATAATTACATAATGATGATTAATACTATACGATATTAAAAATTATATAATTATGACAAAATTTGATCAATTGAAAAATAGGTAATATCTAATGATATAATTTAAATTTACCACAGAACACAAAAAGTACTGAAGATTCTGGTTATTTAAAAAAATTCTGATACAATCTTTTATGATCAGAAATCTTCTATTAATTATATCAGAATATCGTAATAAATGTTACATATATGGCAGTAACCGAAGTAAAAGCGACAATCAAAAGCTTAAAATAACTTTAGAGAATAATAACACTAATAGAGTAAAATAAACTATGTAATTAGTAATAGCGTCATTATTAGAGTATAGAACGTAAGGATATAAATAAGAAATATAAAGAGA